GGGGGCCTACCATGTGTTAAAGCGTGAATCTTCCAGACGAAAAAGAGGGATACAGATATACAACTTTTATTGCTCCATCCCTCTTTAAAAAAAAGAAAAATGACGCTTTAACAGGTAGGTCCTCAGGCCACCTTATTTTGGGACTTACGTGTTTACACATAGTCAAAATATATATTTTTAATTCCGTGTTTTTTACTCCTAACGTTTAAAATTGATTTAATAATATATTTATATGAAATATAAACAATTTAAAATATATTTTTAAATCAATTTTAAACATTAAGCAACGTGTTTTTTTTGTCTGAGAGAATCAGATATTATTTGTGATATACATAATATTGTAAACTCACATATTAACTAAGTATCTCTATTAAAGATTATTTATATTTTTATACTATATAGCAATCCCTATTATCTTAACGTGTGTAATGCATAAAATGTACCTAATGCAATCTCCATTGGCCTTAAATTCGGAGATCTTATTATAATTATATACGAGTCATATTACTGTATCTTTAATGGTATACGCACCCACGATTGCTTAAAGTCTAGTGTTATTTCAAGGTCGTCCAATAAATTATTAACTTATAAGATATTGAATTTCTGACCCTAATTTACACTATATTGTACTTATTTGTTAGTAAATATCTTCTTCATGGTAATAATAAATAAAGATATGATTAAACATTAACAAGTTCTTAGAAACAGAAAAATGAAATAACAAATGGATATTAAATAATTCATTTTATTCAATTAAGGGCTGATTTTTCAATAGTCATATAAATGTTATCTGAGAAATAAAATTGTTGCTGTCACTGCCTTATACAATCAATCTAACGCGACAGCATTATAATTATTCCCCATGGAATTTTCTTTTATCTAACCATTCAAAAATCAGCCCTAAATTTAATGCTAGATTTACATGACTGCACGGTTGGTGCGGTGGCTGGGCAACTGGCTGCCGTGCAACGTGTCGCGGGTTCGATTCCCGCACGGAACAACACTTTGTGTGATTCACAAATTGTTGTTTCGGGTCTGGGTGTCATGTGTATGTGACATTGTATGTTTGTAAACGCACCCACAACACAGGAGAAAATCCTAAAGTGGGGCAACGTTTTTTTTTAAAAAAAAAAAAAAAAAAAAAAAAAAAAAAAAAACATTCCAACGTCGGATATTTTGAAATGATTCGGTTTCTGCTTCCAAGCTTTCGGTTTCAGGGCCAGTACAACATGCCTTCCATTCATCTCTATCAATCATTTTAGTGCGAACGGAACCCTTTTCAATCCATATCTTATTACACACAATCTCAGAATACAGAACAAACCAGAAGGCGTCATCGCGCTTCAAACAGAAGCAACTAAAACCATTCTTAACTAGAATAGTATGAAATTTCTACGATTAGTCAATTTTGGCACGTGGCATGTCGTGACGTATTTACGAGTATCAATTTTAATTTCATTATGCCGTCTTGTGTTATTACTACGAGTAAAAATGCGACTGGAATTACGAAAAAAGTGGATAAGATTACATTTCATCTGCAAGCATCGACTGCAATTGTATATTTAATTAATTATTGAATTTTGTTTATCGATTTATTTTTCTATGAAAATGATGCGGCCATTTTGTGAGTGTTGTCATTCTTGGTGAAAATTTTACCCATTTATTTATTTGTTGTGGGTTATATTTTTGTTCATTATGGAGCCTATGTCATATTAGTTTCCCTGACAAAAAAATAAATACAAATCATACAAAGGGCACGCTTAGATTAATTTTGGAAACCATCTAGCCAGAGCATAGTTTGCTCAATTCACTTTGAAGAGATATATTTATGACAAAGGTGGTTTGAAAACAGCATATCCTACTAAGATATATCTATGTTAACGGAAATGTATGTAATCCGTCATTGTATACAATTCCTAGGAAATTTATATAATTCCTAAATTTGCTCGGAAATGTGTGAAATAAATTTTATAACACACATTTCCTAGTAAATCTATACATTTCCTAAATAGTTAACGGAAATGTATTACTTTAAAGATGTCCATTCGTATGCGTTTATACGGCGTATTACTGTTTAATTGACAGACTGATTAGTTACCAAATGATAGAGCTTTATAAGAAAATATAAGTAGTGTTTGTGCCAGATGGGCCTTAAAATTTAGTAAATAGTTTTGTTTTTGTAGCTTAGTTAGTAAGCCGGAAGAAGATATTATATTTTACGATGTGATTGTTACCTAACTGTTTCAACCGTAGTCTTAATAATAAATCTGTTTCTAAGTTTAACAACGTGTTTTATTAATTTTATTCATAGAAAGCATGGTTTTATACATTTCCTAATACGAAATAGGAATTTTATACAGTTCCTAGGAAATGTATACATTTCCCAGGATATGTGTGTATTAAATAATGTTTGGAACAATATTTTACACATTTCCTATATAGCTTCGGAATTGTATACATTTCCTAGTAATTGTATATAATTCCTGGGTTTCATACAATTCCGGTAACATCTATACTAATTATAATGCTGAAGAGTTTGTTTGTTTGTTTGCTAGAATGCGATAATCTCAGGAACTAAGTAAAGTAAGTAGACTTCTAATCTTCAGTTCCGAGTCTAAAGACATATTAAAAAAACTAAACCAGCAAAAGGGAACGCAATAAAACCTTTTTACTTATTGAAGCTTTATTTTATTTGTTGTGTATAGTAGGTGTAACTAAAATTAACACAGCCAGAAATCGTCAACTTTTATGATACCTCTATGAAATGTGTGAACAACTAGTCTGTTGCATATATCGTAAGTTTACCTATTTTGTTGGGTTTACTCGTATCTTACCCTCCTGTTGTAAAATTACCCCAAACCAAGGGAATTGTTCCACTATCGGCAACACTACGCGGGTTGGAAGTGCGGCTGGCGGGGGATTGACGTATTGTTTTTGGACACATTTGACGACATGTTATTATGAGTGAACGCGGATTCTGGTTTGTTCTGTATTCTGAGCACACAATCTATCCCTTAAGGAAAATAAAAATCATCTCATTCGGATTGATATTTAATACCATATCATGCCTTGATTTCCTTTAATGGATTAAGTTGAATTATTGATTATTGTGGTTAGATGGCCTTATTACTTATCAATGTTACATACATACCAATTGCCCAATCTTTCCCCGCTCCCAATCCCTCCTCAATCCCTAAATCTCCAAATCCCTAATCCCTAAAAGGTCGGCAACGCACTCGTAACTCCTCCTTTGCGGGTGTCCATGGGCGGCGCTGATTGCTTACCATCAGGTAATCCGCCTGCTCGTTTGCCGACCAATTACACAACAAAAAAAACATTTTGAATCTGGGTCGTTGTGGAACGAAGGTTATGTCGCCCGCGTTTTATGCACGAGGGTTCAAAACCTGGCATTGATGTGACTTTTTCCGAGTTATGTATTTACTTTCTAAGTTTATTTAGACACACCTGATAAAGTGAGAAGACAAACTCAAACCTTCTCCATGCGGGAAGCGGCCTTTGCTCAGCAGTGCACACATATAGGTTGATGACGATTATGATGATGACAGATTTTGAAAATGACGGCACAGTTGGCGTTATGACTAGGCAGCTATCTGCTGAAACAACATATCGCGGCTTCTATTCCCGCACGAAGCAAAACTTTGTGTAGGTAATAGATTATTGACCCGGGTGGGTGTTGTATATGTTGACTTGAATGTTCATAAACACTCCTACGGTATAGGAAAAAATCATAGTAAAGGGAACATTTTATAATAAAAATAGACCCTTGTAATTTACGGTCAATGACCCGATATGTTGTCTGCTTGATAAAAAACAAATAATAAATGGAACAACACATCTATTGAAAAGAAGGTCAATTCCAAAATATACGATGAGTATGTCTATAATTCACACATTTTTAGGCATTGGTGTCAGCACGTACTATATTGCATAACTTTAATAAACTAATAGACCCATACTTGCTTATTAATAGTTCTATTGTAACAGTAATAGCTTATTGTCAATATTAAACTCTGTTGATATTATAATTGAAAAATGAAAAACAAATGACTACTCGAAACGAAGACGCGTTCATCTAATAAAATACGTGCAAAAATAATTCTAGAATTTTCGAAATCCTGTCACATGAATACACCGGATTGGTCTATTTGACAGATTGAGATTGGAACAGATAATAAAGACACAATGCCATACGGCATACGGCTCGGTGACCCGCGTAAAGAGGTCTGTTGACTTAAAAATCATGCGTTATTTATTTATAACTGCCGTTTAAGTCTGACTTTTATGGCGTGACTGTATATGGCTGACAATATCTTTGGTGGTAATTATTAATTAATTTATGCATCTTAATAGCTTAGGAGATATTGTTTTGTATTGAGTTGATATTGTTTTTATTATACGTTTAGAGAACTGACACCCGGTTTCTGAAAGGCTTGTCAACTCTAAAATTAACTAATCTCCTGTTAAATCTCTTGTCAAGTCATCTGATTGGTTGACTGAATTATCAACAACAAGTTCCAAGAAATTTCAGTCAGTTTTATTATAATTTTTTTTTATAGGTACAGAAACAGACAACAGATTAAGCATTACATAGTATTTTCATGTTAAGAATACACATTAAATAAATCCGAGGTCCAATTATTATACAAAGCATTTAACAGCTTCAATTTTATAAAAAAAAACCAAGAGAAAATCAATACGAAAATTACTCAAGGTTTTTGTACAGAGACTAGTTTGTAAAATTTTGGATATTGTTTTTTTTAACTTTTTTACTACTTTATTTTTATATTCAAGAAAGTATGATGGTGTTTAATTAGATTATAATTATATTTGACTACTTATTTAAGTCTGACAATATTTTATGTATAAAATTTTAAATTTTATTAAAATACATGACGGAAGTTTTAGCGTGAAAAATAAATTCTACATCCTCATAAACTTATAAATTTATAATATTGTAAGGATAATAAAAAATAACTTACATTAAACCACGCTGTGATCAACTTAAATCTGATCTTTTGATACATTTGTATATCCGGATCATCGTGAGCAGCAAAGTCAATAGTAAGTAACAATCCTGCCACTGCCACCAAATGCACATAGGATAAGGCATAAAACCACAACCTGACACGCAACAAGGTTTTACTCTCTTTCATAAACCCCGCACCTACAATGGCTGAATCTAAATTCAACATTGTAATAAAAAAAAACAAATTCTAAGTTTAAAAAAGAAAAGATGGCCGCGATATTCTCAGCGGCCGGTGCGCACGTATTCGGACTTAAGACGACACCAATGTACTGCAGTACTTGTATTTTAAGTCAAGTTTAATGGATGAGTCGTAGATCCAATGCTACTATATATAAGGAACGTACATACGTCAATGGATGTAAACGATTGTCATTTAAGTCCACTAAAAAATAGAACATTTAAAATACAATTTGCAAAAATTACCCATGCCTTTTTAGGAATATAACACAACATTCAGTAATCATTATAGGGTATTAGTTCTTGTCAGCAGCTTCGCCTGCGTGATAATTGAAAATTATTTCATTGTAATATCGAGCAGAATTATAATAATTTAACATTATCATTTGTTTATTATTCAATTTTGTATTCATACGAAATTATTAAGCAAATAACAATAATTTATACGTATATAAATTATTGTTATTTGCTTAATAATTTCTATGAAAGTTTATCTCTATACCAAAATATTGTTTGATTTATTCAGTAAAATTACTATGAATGCACTAATTTATTCGTAATACAACACGAGTAATAGAATAACAACAAATATTATTTTTTAGCTTTTGTGTTCTGTTCTAGAAGTCGGATTTTTAAACACGGATAATGCTGTTTTTATACAAAATATTTGTGAACACGGTTGCCTCTTATTTCGAGTGGTCTTAAGCTAATAGTCGAGTTCGAATTCTCGGCTTCTAAATAGTGGTTATTCAAAGTATAATGACAATTATTCAATGAATTTTTTCATCATGATAAAAAGTAGACGTTACATAACAGTTTCTTAAGATATCTTTACTATGTATGTTTACGGTGAGTATTTGTTTCTAGTTCCTTGTAAATGGCATTACACATTTATAATTAATTCTAAAAGTACGTAATAAGTAGTAATATCTAAAAGTACGACTTTGTTTCATGAGAATAGGCAGAAACTTTATTGAGGATATCGAAGACTGCACTATTGGCGCGGTGGCTGGGCAACTGGCTGGCGTGCAACGTGTCGCGGGTTCGATTCCCGCACGGCACAACAGTTTGTGTGATCCACAAATTGTTGTTTCAGGTTGGGTGTGATGTGCATGTGAAATTGTATGTTTGTAAACACACCCACGACACAGGAGAAAACCCTAGTGTTGGGCAACGTGTTTAAAAAAAAGACACAGTTTTCCCCCATCCCTAAGCCTTGAAAGGTAAGCAATGGACTTGTAACTTCTTTGTTGACGGTGTTGTATTAGCGATACCAACTGCTTAACACCAGTTAACAGTGTACTCGATATAAAATCTATACTAATATTATGAAGAGGTAAATTTGTATGTTATCTTTGGAATCGCTCATCGGCTTACCGAAATTCTCTGATAGATAGCTACAATGGTCATGAGTGCTATGGTTTATTTAAATCATACTTGATACGTGTATTTCAGTAGAGCTGTCGCAGTTTTTTTATGTTCTATTCTTTTATAGGAAGGTTCGTTCACTTTTGCATTCTTCTAAGACAAAGTAAAAAGGAAACTTTTTTTATTTAACAGTATATTATGTATTTATAATGAGCAGTATTGTTTGTCACTTTGTCTAATAACGATAATTGCATAGGTGATCTACGATAATAATATACTTGTTGAGGTAATGTTGTCGAGAATAATTACAGATAATAACAGGCAATTAATTAGACAACATTGTCATGATGTTAGATCTAGCCTAGTCTATTAGATGACATTATTATTAAGTTAATAATCCCCTTAAATAGAATAATTGCATTATAACCATGTTAGTAATGCCATCTGAGACACCATAGTAACATAACGCAAAGAGACAAAAAAGATTTTCAGGATCAGAATATAAGGAGGGTGGGGTTAACAAGTCTATGTATGTAATCTAAAATACCTCGTCAGTTTCAATTTTTGTGTGAGGCTGTTGTATCACTCCAGTCGAGCGGGCAATAGGCCCGCTGAATACTGAAGCGTGGCTTTCCCAAAACGTGTACCTAAATACAATGCGGTTTTTCAATAATCCCAATACATAATATACAATGTATTTATATTATTATCATCAGCCTATAAATGCCGTCTGCCGAGTAAAGGCCTCTTCTCACGCGGAGAAGGTTGTTTGAGCAATAATCACAATGCTTGCTTAACGTGGACTGGTGAGTCAAAATGTCTTAGTGGAAATTACAAGAGCAAGTCTCCTCACGATTTATATCTCTACTGTTGGTCACACTGGTACTTGCCAGGTTTTAAATCCGCACTCTCCTATATGATGCGAATGTCATTCTTATACATCCGGGCTACCTCCACATTTTTACAATATATACTAATTACTATGTTATATTCAATGGTGACTTCAAGGTGCTTTTCTGTCTCCTATCACATAAAAACTAGCCATTAAATAATAATAAACGTAACTAAATACTTACAAACTTTTAAGACATTTTAAATTAATTATTTTGTATAAGCAAACATAAATATTTACATGATAATTATGACAATTTATTATTAATTTTGTTCAAATGCACAGCGTTCACTGCGTGGTGTATCGTGTTATGCTACTCACAAATAAGAGCCCCTATCATGGCTTGAAACTAGTCGAGCTATCTCGAAAAAATAATAATTAATTTAAAATGTCTCTCGAAACTTTATAGTTATGGCTGTAGGTATTGGTAAAAAATGTTTTCGTACAATTAATAAGTTGACAACGATATAAAATAAATTCGTGTATTCAATGAGTTTGGATCGTATGAGAATGGGGTGTCGTCCATTTATCGAGCTAATTAATGTCAAGGTACTCTCGACATTGGAAAGACAGGTGAAATATGTCATTGCAGTAGCTAGGTTTGAGTCAGGTCGGTCGGTTCTCAAAATGGCGACGACGACCTTTATTCTATATGAAGTGTTCTGGGGAGATTTTATGATAAGTTTGAATTCACCAATCCGCCTTGAGAAAGCGTGGCGACTTTCTTTATGTGTGAAGAAGCCTTTGCTCAGTAGAAGGCACTTGTTACAGGCTTGTGACGATGATGACAATGATATGACGAATGTTTTAGTTTTCATTATTTTATATGTCGTTATAAAAAATGTGCGGCGACTGTCTCTCACTTATGAAGGCGAAGTTGCCAACATGGTAGAGGTGTGCAATGTGCATTGTTTGAAATAAATTTAGTTGTCGTATGATGAGCATTTGGGTTCGTGTTCTTGTACATATTACCAAAAGTCAAACAAAAACGCTTTAGTGAAAAACTCGTACATATTTATTTTTTATTCACACTTTTGGTCACATTTATTGATAAGATAAAATGTTTTTTTTTTGCTAATTACACGCTACTATTCTATCGAAACTTCTCAAGCAAGCGATTATTGTACTTAATCATAATATGCATTAGGTTCATGTTCCTAACGTAGGTAATATTTCTAGTATTGAAGTTTATGAGCTAAAGTTTGAATACCGATCGTGTACGTGCTGTGTTTGTTGATTTAGGATATTGGTTCAGAGTCTATATTAATCATCTTCGAGCCTGACGTCACAGGTCATAGAAATTCTTACTTAGGTACTGATTTAATATTATATGTACTTACACAGACATACATTCATGTTATTAATTTACTATGGGAGAGCTATGTTTCGGCACGAATAAGTCGGCTTGACCGGAATAAAAACACGATTTCACAGAAAACCAAAAAAATAGCACTAGCATTCAGTTACCTAATATATTAATAATAAAACATATAATTTTATAAACCACTTGAAAAAAATTAACATTAATCTACACACATAACAATACATCTGACAATATGAGCGTGTATAAACCTGACAATGATATTGTTTCTTTTTTTTGATACTCGTATAGGAGTCATTAACTTGTAGGTATTTAATACAGGGTGTAAAATTAATAAAAATAATATATCATGTCATTTGTCTAAACTACTGGATAAAGAATGTAACATAGACTATCTCAGTCTCTCCTTTTTGTAGATTAGATATACTGGTGGATATCTACTGTCGAAGAAGTACCCTCTTTGAATAATCCTGAGGGTGTTGCTAGCTCACATTGTTTTATTACATAGGTAATATACTGACATAATGTTAATGAAGGATGAGCCAAATGATATATAACTGATCGTTTTTGTCAATTCCCAACTTGATAACATAAACTCTTATAAAATGACTGGGTAAAATATGGACGAATATAATTTCCTTATAAAAAAATAACCATACAATATACGTTGCACGTATGCAGTATAAGTTGACTGCACGTTTGGCGCGGTGGCTGGGCAACTGGCTGCCGTGCAACGTGTCGCGGGTTCGATTCCCGCACGGAACCACTCTTTGTGTGATCCACAAATTGTTGTTCCGGGTCTGGGTGTGATGTGTATGTGCATTTGTATGTTTGTAAACGCACCGACACAGGAGAAAATCCTACTGTGGGGCAACGTTATTTAAAAAAGAAAGTTTATTGTAGTAATAAATACTTAAATATCAATCATAGGTCAGCGATATGTATGTATGTCGGTTAAGTACGTGCAATATAAGCCAATAATCCAAGCTCTTCCAGTCGAGTGTCATTACAGTGAATGGTTGGCACACAATGCACCTAGATTGCACCGATAGTTCATATTGAAGCTGACAGGTGGCAGGAGTGAGGAATATGGCAGCTTTTGTTATGATCACGGTGACTTAGTCGCCGTTAGTACGATTCCTGGCAACTGTACATGTGTGTATTTTCATTCCTGATACTAATTCGAAGGCTGGTAACTTTCGACAGCGCAAAAGAATCTAATTCTAAATAATTAAAAATAATAAATTAAAGATGTGTTTAATTTGGAAAAATAGCAACGGCTTATAAAAGAAAAATTTACAACACGAGGTCACCATGGGTAAACTCACTCACAGGACAAAACACAAGACAAAAGTGGTTTTACGATGTTATATCATATCGGCCGAGCCAGCCATTTGTACCCAAGCATATATGCATCTTACTTAAATATAAACGTGTCCTCTTGAATATTCTCCTCCGTCTTTTACAAAAAACCTAAACCAAATTAAAGGTTTTCATTCAGAATATTCAAATAACTCATTACGTAACCAAAA